CTGAAGTACAAAGCAGTGAAAATAATTAACAGGCAATCGTTCGATGAGCTGAATTGCACAAAACGCACGATCGCACCGGCTAGTCTGGTGCGCGTTGCCATTTATTTTTTTTAACCTGAAAAAAATTTTAATTTTTTAACCTGAAAAAAATTTATTTTTATAGAATCCACTTTTTTCTTTTTGAAAAAATTGTATTAAATTTATTTTTTGCAGCACTGCTGAAAAAAGTGAAGTGGTCAACCGAAAGCAGAATCTTAACAAGAGAAAGAGGAAGATGCCAGCGCAATGGGCAGCCAAAGCTTTTGCAAAACGCCACGAACAATTTTCAGCGTTTAGGTGAAGAAATTTGAAGCATCGATGTAGTTTTTGCTTTTTGCTGACACTTGTATTTTTGACAATTTTTGCTTATTTCTTGTCGGTTTCAGACTGTCAACACTATCGAAATGGGATGAAAGAACAACGCTTATTGGCGTTAATGCCGTCAAAAATAAGAAAAATGATTTTAGTGGATTTGAATCTGTTGTTCTGAAACAAATTGAACAGGTGAGTTCGTGTGCTGCTACTGTATTTATGCATGTATCGGTGTGTTTGTTTTTTCTGCATATAGTTGAGCTCAGGAACAGATTATTGGCGTCATTTATTTTGCTTTAAAGGCACAGTTCCCGTTCTTTTCATGCCATGAACGAACTCGCTTTTCAAAAATATCTTTGGACTGGGCGTGAATCGAACCACTCCTCTTCACATTCGGACGCGACATGCTAGACCACTATGCCACCGACTCTAGTGCTATACGCTATTTTGCTGGGAGCACCTATTTTCTGCTTGTGCTTTGTTTCCGTACATACTCTCTGCCCCCTGCCTGCTAACTTGTGCAGCACGCTGCCTCAGCAGTTGCCGGCTTTTCGCGAGTTTTCCGTAACAATTCGTGTTTTTAAATTTACTATGTTCGTCCAAACTCTGATAGAAATAGGTAAGATTCGCAAACTTGTAAAAGAGATTGTAAACTTAATCGGTCACTGATCTGCAGTTAAATGTGTACGAAACCTTCTTAATTGTTTGCTATTACCAAGTTAGTGAAAAAATCGCTTTTAATTTATATTTTGCAAAGCTTAAAGCTCTACCTCACTTTTCTTTTTCATCTTTTTTCATGATGGAGTTTTTCAGATAATGAGTGATAAACATCGTTTGTTGCGGCGAACTCAGATGAAACGTTGTGATGTTGATCGAATGGGAGCCACAGAAGATGTTAGTTTAATCGTTTTTCGCACTGCTTGTCAATGCGAGGAGAAGAAAGGGGGAGGTAGTAGATGGAGGGGGGGGGCGGGAGGGGAGGGGGAGGACGGGGTTGATATTTTAGCGTTAAAACGAATTATTCAAATTAGACTAGTAGGGGGAACAGAAGGAGCCCTTGCTCAAAAAAAGGATATCTGGACATTAAAAAAGTTTCAGCAGGGGAATAAAATCCAAGAAACAATGCGGAAAGTAAAAATGCAAGAAAGGGGGAAATTTTGCTGCCTTTGGTGGATGTTAAGCTAAAATCTTGAGTTTACCTCATTTTTTGTTGGAAATTTTGATGATTTTTTATAAATTTTCCTTTCAGTTTTTCATTTGCGCTTTTTAGAGCACTTATGACGCTGAGATATTCGACGATAATGATTTCTATCAGCTGCTAGTAAAGGAATTGATTGAAAGGAAATCAGCTGGTATAGTAGATCCCGTTGAAATGAGCAGGTATTTTTTCCAAGCTGTTGCCTGAATAGTTCAGTTTGAAAGAAAGTCATTAAATTTTGTTTTTTCCTTTTTCTGAAAACGGTGATTTCGGTCTTTTATGATACTTATGCATGGAACAGCTTTTAAATTTTTCCACGATTGTAAACTAGTAAATATACCTGTTACTTTTTCCGTTGTTGCACATCTGAGATGGTCGGTCTGCCAGGGATCCAAGCGTTCGTTTTGCGGTACTCTAGTGTGACGTATTTACTAGCTGAAGCACTTAAAAAGGCTGTGCCTGCTTCGGGATGCTCTTGGCTTTTGTTGGATCCTTCAGATTTGCATTTTTTCGACGAACGATCTTTCACCGAAAAAACGACCGGGTTTCATGCAAAAAAATTGATCATCATGCAAATTGTAGATTCACGCGACCCTATGATGCAACATTACCATCCCAGCCCGTATACAAGAAAGCAGTAAAACACAGCCGATATATGTCCACGTGCTATGCTGTAACTCATGAACCAATCGTGCTTTTAATAATCTGATCGCCATAAGTTTAGCGCAAAAACGCATGATCGCACCGGCAAGCCTGGTGCATTCCAGCCTGAGTTTAAGTGATACTTTAATGTCAAAAAAAATAGTTTTATGTGATAATTTTATGGTAAAAAAAAAGAATGCATAATAATAATTCCCCCACAACAGAAGTAGTGGCTCTTTTAAAGAGTGATTTCGGACTAAAGTTTTTAAATTATTAGACATGCTGTTGTGCATTTTGATCTTAATTTATCGTGCAGGCAATGGCTGGAAGTGCAGAACTTGCGGCAGAAACGTTTCAAAAAGAAGAAAATTGATCGGAAAGCTTCCAAAGGTCGCAAAATACGTTACGTTGTGATACCACAGCTAGTGAATTTTTTCCCCTCAGTACCTGAAACTGTAAAATGGAGCCACGAAAGCAGAAATCAACTCTTTAAATCCCTCTTTACATGAGAATTGATACTTGAACGGCTCCTGGTTCACCACTGATCCATATTCGGGATGTTTTAACTATACCATCGACTTCCTCGAGCTCTTCGCATTCACAACATACCATACATTTGTGTCAGGGAATGGCTTACTTTAGCCTTCCAGTATTGTGGGTAGCTCAGTTGTTAATTTGTTTCGCACGTCTGTTGTCTGTCATCCTTGCCTGGTTCTTTTTTACCGCGCAAAAATTGATTGTTACAGTTTTGTGGTGTGTAAGCGTATGCAGAAAATAAAAAAAAAATTTTTTTATAAAACGCAAAAAAGTCTTGAAAGCCTAACATTCATAAAAGTAGTAATATGGGTGGTCATTGGATCACTCAGAAATGCATAATTTCGCATAGTAATAACAAGTAAAATTTTCTTCTGATGAAAAACAATGAATTCTTCACATAAGCGAAGTTCGCTAACATCCCCTCGTAATGGTATCAACCGGGAATAGGGACCGATATGTTTTGAAATAACTCTTCCACGTACACAATTGAAATTGAACATGAACGACTAACGTGGATTGTTGATTTCAAGCGTTTTTACCTCCTTTCAGCTTAATGAGGAAACTTGGATTTTCTCAGTTCCTTTCCGAATTGCTGAAGATCTCGAAAATCATGTGATTAACCCAAACTTGTTAGACTTTCCTCGTCATGTCAAAAGAAAAATTCCCGTCGTTTTCACTCACAAAAGGAGGCAGAAAAACTCGGGAATAAGTGGAGAGTAGTAAGTATTAGCAGCAGTCACCCGCTAGCATGGATGTTGGTGGCTCCCTTTTTGGAATGTTGTTTGAAAGCAAACTGGTGTCGGATTTCACTCGCTCGCACATTCCAGTACTAATTTACCATCAAAACGTAGAGGGGTTGGTTATCCAAGTTTGGGTATAAGTTTAAAATTTCTTTGGTTTGTTAGCCGAGTTTTCAGGTCTTCCATTGTCGAAGATGGGTGAAAGAGCTGCACTAATTGAGCTTGGGTGATGTTCATTATATTTTAAGGAGGTGGAAAGCTAGGAAAGCATTTCGGTCTTCCGAGAAAATGACTTTCATTTTGACGACAAATTGAGGTAATTCCTCTGTTTGAGTGAGGAAATAAGTTCAGTTTTAAATACAATACATTATACTTCGCCAGAAGCTTCAAAAGCTTCACAGATCAATAGTACCCGAATTCACGAAACCGAAAAAAGTGGACACGGAGGAAGGGAGTGGACACTACACAAACGTCTCCTCCACATTCCGTAGGGGTTCGATACTTGCGAATTCCATATAGCAACGATTTGTTGGCCGCAAATAATCGGCTGTTATTTCGTGATGTTTTGTCGCCAGGCACAA